GTAAGACTCTGTTAAAGGGAAAGTATGATATGCAGGGGCAAGCCACTACTAATCTGAAGTGGAGAGCATATATTTTAAAGTAAATAAATAAAAAATAGGATTAAAATTGTAGCCCGGAATTATGTCAATGTCACAATAAATAATTGTGCTCGTACTATAAATAAATTAGTCGAAAAACAAGATGAAAGTCATTTTTGTAATAAATTCAGGGGATTGCACTGAAATTCGATCCGGGTATTCCGATAAAAAATGCGATCCCACTAGTAGTTTACACTCATCAGCCGAAAGTAGAAATAACAAATTGAATACTCTTGTTCATTGAAATTACCGTATGTTAATGAGATCATGAATATCCCGATACCAACAACGTAGTTTTACTCAATGTATTATATGCTTTTAATTAGTTAGACTCGTACATGTAAACTTACAAAGTAATAAAACATTCATTAGCACTTAGGAAGTCTGTTACGAGTGTTTGACGCTGATGTCTATTGCTTCTTGCAAGACAATATTTCAATCTGCTGATTCATTGGAAACATTTTGATTCAGTCTTTCGTGGCTTCCAAAAAGCTCTGAAGGACATTTAATTAGCCAATTTCTTTTGGCGATTTATTGCTTTTTGGAAGAATGTTCTCACTTATTTTGTAGTGGTTTGCCAAAGCTTGGCAAGCGCTAAGAATATCAAGTAACCCTGTATGCAATTGTGCATACTCAATATACATATGCAAAATATGCACTTAAAAGCAGAAATGCATTTAGTTTAAAGTGCATATAGTTACATCGGAACAGACTTTCGAGCGTTTGTTAAAAGCCAGAATACAGTAGGCCCCATTCTCTCGTTGCGGACTTCTTTTGCAATGCTTTCTTCTAAAATATGAACTACATTGAATATTTCTGTTTTAATAAAGTGTAATGTTAAAGATTTTATTTTTGTTAATTTGTTAAGTTATGGCAAGGCAGCACTTGGGCGATCTGCCTAGGGGATATCTTCCGGGAGATCACAGACGTGGAAAAAATCCAGGAAACTCAACGTGGCCAGCCCATCCTGGCGAACCCACGATCAGACTCCCAGTGTTCAGGGAACGGAACCGCTTGGCCATTGTTGGGCTAATTTTTTTAGTAAAAATCAATTATATTTTTAGGGATAAGAACGGTTAAGGACCCCCAAATTTCATTCGAATACAAGATGAATTCTCTAGCTTCTCCATTTCGAAGGCTCTGTGTCAGAGACTCAATAAAACTGAACAAAGTTCGGTTTATCGAATGTCATTTGCGTGTTGATTTCGCTGGCATAATTTCTATTTAATATTAATTTATAAACATTTTTTCCTATCATACACAGGTGATAACTCCTCTAATCAATCTAAGGAAATTTTGCTCTTATAATATGACAGCCATGGAGAGATTAAAAGTAAGTATTGATAATATAAAAAAAATATACCTTAATTAAATTGTTCGGAATTTAATTTAATTACTTAATTATTTCTTTTATTTTTGTTAAATGACGGAATTTTAAGTTTATTTCGCCTTGTGGGCACTAAAAAGAGTATTTTTTTATACCCATTGTGAGCCCTGAGTAAGGACGTTTCCATGTATCTCAGACTCACCGCCATTAAAAGTTTTCGGGGAGTTGATAAAACATCTTAATATTCACGAACATTATTTTATGTACAGTAATTTCTTCAGAGTAGAGTAATTTAAATTATGAACATTGAAACAATACGCAAAACTAATCACTATATTTGTAATCCACAAATTTCTTCTATAAACTGAAGATCTGACATCTTACTACCACACTGTCAATTTCAATTATATTATGGAACAAATATATCAGATATTTTATGAAAAATTCTGAATTTTTTCTGCATTACAAAGTTAAAATTTTATTAATTTTAGATTTCGTTTGATGAGATACGGTTTACAACGCCTAAGCAATTTCCTTTTGGGAGAACTTTCTATGGGATACTGTTCCCTATTTCGTGTGGGTTAATTATGTGAAAAAAACTGAAAAAATTTACGTGGCCAGCCCATTGATTTGGAGCGAATCCACCATCAGTGTTCAGTGCTTGTGAATTCGCATCTAACCAATCGGCCAGTGTTTAGTTTCGTTCGGTGGTTTTATCCATTCGATCATTGTGGGCTTTAATTTATTAATGACAACAGAACACGTGTGGGATTTGCAGAGAGGATTCTGAAAATTGCACACGTGTTCTGTATAATGTCTCCAGGGACAACTTTCTATAAGAATCCGACCGTTATATCGATATTACAAACACGAAGAAAATCGGAAAAACTTGGCCAGCCTGTTGGCGAGATGCAAACTCACGAACTACCAGTGTTCTGTGGTTTTTGTTCATTAGGCTATTGATGGGTAAAGAACATATCATGAAGTTGATTGTAGGTTATGTTAACAAATGTATTATACGTCAGATTAAGTGTATTAAATTCTGGCTTGTTTATTTAACGAAACTGCTATATTATGCCATATTTTCATATTGGACATCGCGATCAAACTTCGCGAAACTTTTTGCTTTTAATTCTTAAACGTATTAATTTTTTTAAAATGTTTTTAAAATTTTGATATTTTTGAAACCGTGCCAGTAATTATTAGTAATTCGAACACAAATCAATTATTGTATTTATTCAGACACTTGGCAAATCTCATCATTAAATATTATTCATTTTTGTTAAATTTTTTCGTCCGATTGCTGGATTATTATTAGATAAATCAAAGACAAGTCTGTCCAACAGGAATCACCATTTATTTTGCATTTCGGACTACACACACACATTATTCAGTTGATACGTGTTCATTGTATTTTTATATGTTTCGGGCATTCCTTGCCTCTCTTCAGCTAACTTTTTGATTACAGATTACTGAATGTCAAAATTTTAGTCTTTAAAATTAGTCCTTAAAATTTAATTATAATGATTAATTATTTCTAGTTAATTTGTTCGTTAAAATTACTTGATGGACCTCAAATCGGATTAGAATGTTTAGATTTTGTATTTACAAAAGCATCTTTTCTTCTCGTAAGTATAGATAAATCCTTTATATTCTTATAAAATGTCAGAAAATTTATATTCTATAAAGTTTGTAATAAAATAAATTGTTTTTTCGGATGCTGCAGAGTAAAATTTCTTTCTCTTCTAGTTTGAAAGGTATACAAGATGCGAGAAAACCAAAGATTTGTAAGTGAATAAAATCACTTTAGTCATTTCAACAGTAATGTGTGAATAAATGCTGAATGTTATGCAATGATGAACATGGTATACTTATACTGTAGTTATGTATTTATCTATAATACTGGAATAATCGACATATCTTGTTACACGTGCATTGTTAGTGATATAATTAAAAATATTATAATTATAATTTACGGTACAATCAGGCGTTTGTGAACTCAATTTGCAGAAAATTAATGCGACGTAATGTAATAAAGATTGTTCTTAAGAAACTTATTGTCTTTGTGAAACAATAAAAGATTAGAGGAAAATAATTGAAGCAGAAGTAGAATTCTTACGGGAAGACGTTTTGTAGGAAAAGCCCCCGTTTAGTTGTTTAACACAGCGGTCCCCAACCTTTTTATCGCCGCGGACCGGTCAACGTTTGATAATTTTACTGCGGCCCACTGAGGAGGGGCGTTGATTGTTTATATTTTAGATTGATTTAATTTAATAATTTTAATTTAATTGTATTTAAACATTCCTTCAAAATAAAATACATTTACACCAAAAACTGAAGATAAGTGATTTAACATTTTAACTCACTAGAACGCTAAATCAATGAGAACCCTGAGCTTGTTTCTTTGCAACGAGACGGTTCCATCTGGGGGATAATAGGAGACAATGACACTCGAAGTGTGTTTCTTATGTCCAGTTTATCCAGTTGTTCCATCGTCCATTAAAAGTCGCACAAACCCGAGGAAATACCATAGTAAATAAAATAGAAATAATTTAATGTTCCTTGGGCGGCCCAGCACCATTTGATCCACGGACCGGTACCGGTCCGCGGCCCGAGGGTTGGGGGCTACTGGTTTAACACATGAAGAAACTCCCTAAAACTTTACCTTGCCAGCCTGAACTATCACCAGTGATCGTTGGTATTAGCCACTCGTCACTGATGGGTGCCCAGAATAATAGACAGGCGCCTTGACTAATGTTTGAGAACACGTGATATCAATGGCATTCTTTGCAATTGAAGAAATTCTTCAATAATACCAGCAGTATTATCATAGTTTGTATAATGCGTGCAAAATCCGTTTTTATTAGTAATGAATTAAATACAGAAATTTATAAGTCTACAATGTTTTCAAATTGCAGTTCGTCGCCCTTTAACTACCAAAATTTAATAGCATTAATGTTCTAATACAAACACCTCTCTGCAAAGTTGCAGAAATTTTTGGCAAAAAGCAATCAAGCTTGAAATAGGGTGAACAAAATCGTGACTCCCAAACATATATCACACAAACGTCTATATATATAGAAAACACTCCGAATTTTTGTGTGCATTTCTCGACGTTTCAAGATCCCGAGTCAAAAAATGTGTAAACCTTAGAGAAGGATGATTTTTTGACCAATCGCCATGTCCTATGTTATACGCAACAGATTCAGAAAGTAAAAAGTATACAACATTTCTTTATAAGTATTCATGTGATAAAATGAATTAAATTCATTAATGAGATGGTTTGATATTGCGAGAGAACTTACCAGTCGTTTCAATCAATTCGAATGTAACCCTTCATATCGTAAATCCTGATTTTCTGGTTAACAATATATTTGTTGTATTACTCTTGTGACAGTGAAAATAGGACGTAAATGCATATAACCGTTGGAATAGGGAGATCAAGAGACAGTATGGTCTGTTGTTAGTGATGGGCCTAGTTTATGGAGTATTGGAAAAGAAGACAAGACATTATATCAAAGTAAAAACAACACAAACAACAATAGTATTTATGAAGTAGAAATTATGAATTTTATAGTTTAAAACACTTCCTTAGATCAAAACGTCCCTAATTTTACCGCTTGTTCATAAACAAAAGGACAATTATTTGCCATAGTTAGTTCATATGCAGACCCCGAACCTGCATGAAGTATTTTTGTAGAACTTAGCTTATTCCAGACATGGATCAAATAACTGTCTTTAATTTCACGAAGAACTGTTTTGGCTAAAGAATTGGAAAAATAATCCTCCCATCTACCATAGAACAAAGGAAATGCTGCTTTCGGATTTAATATTGTAAAGTCACAATCATTTCTCTTCTGGAGGTCGTTTAAGTTGCTTCCATTACAATATGAAGTAAAGATTCTAGTAAAAAAGGGTGGACCAATGCATGCAAAAAAATTAGTCCTGTATTCCTTACTAGCTTCGTTCATGCAATTTAATAGAAAAGGATGATGATGATCTTTTATACCAAATATACTATTACCTAGAGATGCACCATGTTCCTTAATTACAAAATTGCCTAGAAAACTCATAGATTTTAACATAACAATATCGAGATCTAAATATATTCCTCCATACTTCCAAATCAAAGCGTATCGAGCGGCATCACTTAGATGAATTACTTTGTGTTCACTCTTATTCCATTCTTTTCTCTCGTACCACTTCAATAACGGAGTATCTCGAAATATTTCTTGAAAAGTAGATTTTATAAGTTGAATATTAGTATAATTACGCGTTAAATTGAAGATATCTGGGATATTGTTTTCAGTGAATATTAACACATTAACTGAAGCTGATAGGTGATGACGAGCAGTCGATTCAATAGCACATGCTTGACGAACATTTAATGACGAAGAACCGGACGTTTCGACAAAAAATATATTAGCGGAATCCACTTTGCGTAAAACAGATTGACCATGAATGTGTTGTAATAAACTGGATACAACTCTGTGAATTTTGTAGACATTTTCATTTCGGTAGAGAAGATATGTTATCAACAGGAGGAATAACATAATTCCTATTGATAATCTTCGTATTTTATTCTGAAAAATGTTTAAATTATTAGCAAGAATTATTAATATTTTCTTTGAGTAGTTTGTGGTATACAGTATATACCACAAACTACTCAAAGAATATATATAAGTTTGACTGGTGGCCTCAGTCAAACTTATTACAGTAGACCCCATATAAAACTGTAGATAATTCCGTGTTATATAAGTTCCATGTTGTACGAGTCACTTAGATTTTACAAATACGTGAGCCGTTCACAGCCCGACACACGTATTTGTAAAATCTAAGTGATTCGTACAACATGAAATTCATATAACACGGAATTATCTAGTGTTATATGGGGGTCTACTGTAATAAGTTTGACTGAGGCCACCAGTAGTCCACAAATGGTTGAGTGGATAAAACCATTGAACACTAGTATTCAGGTCTCACCAACAGGCTGGCCACATAGAGTTTTCTGGTTTTCTTTACATATGTAACATCTAAATAAAGGCCATTTCCTCGTCCCTCACCATCTAGCAGACTCCAAAGTGGTCTTTGTCGAACTTATCGACACGGAAAATAAATCCCTTAAATAATTAATGCCTTCTTAGGGTTGAGAGTCAAAGTTTAAAGAAATATATTATAAATTTTCCCTAATTATAATTCCTGTTTGGCTTCTGTCGAACTTCGACCTTTTTGACAAACTGTTTTCCATTTTCAAGAACAGAAAATAGATTTTAAATCTTAACTTTTATATAAATTAATTTTTTTTAATTCAATAAGGTACTTCGTCTACACTTAAATATATTTTAAAGTACAAATTATAGCCTACGTCAATTATTAAGTTAAAATGATTTATCTTAATTTCTACCCTGAGATAACTTTACCTTTAAATTCTGCAAAAGGAACCGTAATTATAATTATTTTTAACCGTACAGAACGATTTGCTTACCATTTCCAATACAGCAATTTAACATGTAAATTTTATTTTATGGATTTTTTTATTAATAAATTGAGTAGATGTAGTTCATAATATAACATCTGTCTATACCCGTAAATGTTAGAAGAAACTTAATTTTAAAAATTTTTAAATAAGCAAATAATATTTTAGTTGTTCATTACTAAAATAGAGTCTCTACAAGACGAATTTTCTTAATTTATTATAAACTCTTTCTTCTTAAAATGTTAATAATAAGTATATAAATTAATATGCTAAGCGAATGTGTAATTGAGTTTTTGCTGTCTTAGTACATTAATTAATCATTATTATTAATTTATTTTATGATAAATTTTCCTTATATATTATATAATATAATTTTTCTGTATGTAAACAATAATTTGCATTAATTAATCATGTATTTGAATATGATATTTTGAGTTTCTGGCAGATTGTTTTAAAGAAAACGAAATACATACGTTATTATGATTAATTTATATAGTGTCCACAGAATATAATATATTGTATTGAATGTTGACAATATTCTTAAATTGACATTTTAATTTTTTATTCCAATTTCAGATGAACATTCCTCTTACAAACCAAGCAAATGTTTAGTGGTGACGTCAGTCAACGAGAATTCACCTAACAAATTGCTAACTTATAACGTAAATTTGATTATGTTTTTGTAATTTTTAACCAAAATTAAAGTCTACGGATAAGGAGATAAATAAAGTAAAAATTTAAAAACATCCAATAATGTCATAAGTGTTTAATGATAGAAATATTTTGCCGTTAAAATGGAAAAAGAAAAGACAAGATTTAAGGTAATTTATAAGATCTATTTAAATCAACGATCATCTATATATATAAAATTGCTTGCCANAGTCAAAGTTTAAAGAAATATATTATAAATTTTCCCTAATTATAATTCCTGTTTGGCTTCTGTCGAACTTCGACCTTTTTGACAAACTGTTTTCCATTTTCAAGAACAGAAAATAGATTTTAAATCTTAACTTTTATATAAATTAATTTTTTTTAATTCAATAAGGTACTTCGTCTACACTTAAATATATTTTAAAGTACAAATTATAGCCTACGTCAATTATTAAGTTAAAATGATTTATCTTAATTTCTACCCTGAGATAACTTTACCTTTAAATTCTGCAAAAGGAACCGTAATTATAATTATTTTTAACCGTACAGAACGATTTGCTTACCATTTCCAATACAGCAATTTAACATGTAAATTTTATTTTATGGATTTTTTTATTAATAAATTGAGTAGATGTAGTTCATAATATAACATCTGTCTATACCCGTAAATGTTAGAAGAAACTTAATTTTAAAAATTTTTAAATAAGCAAATAATATTTTAGTTGTTCATTACTAAAATAGAGTCTCTACAAGACGAATTTTCTTAATTTATTATAAACTCTTTCTTCTTAAAATGTTAATAATAAGTATATAAATTAATATGCTAAGCGAATGTGTAATTGAGTTTTTGCTGTCTTAGTACATTAATTAATCATTATTATTAATTTATTTTATGATAAATTTTCCTTATATATTATATAATATAATTTTTCTGTATGTAAACAATAATTTGCATTAATTAATCATGTATTTGAATATGATATTTTGAGTTTCTGGCAGATTGTTTTAAAGAAAACGAAATACATACGTTATTATGATTAATTTATATAGTGTCCACAGAATATAATATATTGTATTGAATGTTGACAATATTCTTAAATTGACATTTTAATTTTTTATTCCAATTTCAGATGAACATTCCTCTTACAAACCAAGCAAATGTTTAGTGGTGACGTCAGTCAACGAGAATTCACCTAACAAATTGCTAACTTATAACGTAAATTTGATTATGTTTTTGTAATTTTTAACCAAAATTAAAGTCTACGGATAAGGAGATAAATAAAGTAAAAATTTATAAATATCCAATAATGTCATAAGTGTTTAATGATAGAAATATTTTGCCGTTAAAATGGAAAAAGAAAAGACAAGATTTAAGGTAATTTATAAGATCTATTTAAATCAACGATCATCTATATATATAAAATTGCTTGTCCTGACTGACTGAATGACTCACTGATTCATTATCGCCCAGAGCAAACCGCTGAACCTAAAGAGGTAAAATTTGGTACACGGTTAGGGTACGTCATGAAAACGCACACTAAGAAGGGATTTTTCGAAATTCACCCGCGAGGGGAGAGGGAGAGCATTAAGGCTTAATCGGAAAAACGGCTTCTACTGTATTATTTTAGATGCGAGTTTTTATTTTTATCTACGTTTAAGTAGGGTATGCCATGGCATTGCACACTAAGAAGGGATTTAGGGCGGGAGAGATAGAGGATTTAGTCGTCATCGAGTACTTAGGTGTATTAAATTGATAACATTTCAGACATCGTTATAAATATTTTTATCTATTTCGATTTTAAAAATGTTCGAGCCGAATTTGTTATTGCATATTGGTTCGATTATAGAACAATTGTAAACGTTCCAGAAAATTGATCAAATTGAAAATAGTTCGTTTGATTCTCGNTACCCTGAGATAACTTTACCTTTAAATTCTGCAAAAGGAACCGTAATTATAATTATTTTTAACCGTACAGAACGATTTGCTTACCATTTCCAATACAGCAATTTAACATGTAAATTTTATTTTATGGATTTTTTTATTAATAAATTGAGTAGATGTAGTTCATAATATAACATCTGTCTATACCCGTAAATGTTAGAAGAAACTTAATTTTAAAAATTTTTAAATAAGCAAATAATATTTTAGTTGTTCATTACTAAAATAGAGTCTCTACAAGACGAATTTTCTTAATTTATTATAAACTCTTTCTTCTTAAAATGTTAATAATAAGTATATAAATTAATATGCTAAGCGAATGTGTAATTGAGTTTTTGCTGTCTTAGTACATTAATTAATCATTATTATTAATTTATTTTATGATAAATTTTCCTTATATATTATATAATATAATTTTTCTGTATGTAAACAATAATTTGCATTAATTAATCATGTATTTGAATATGATATTTTGAGTTTCTGGCAGATTGTTTTAAAGAAAACGAAATACATACGTTATTATGATTAATTTATATAGTGTCCACAGAATATAATATATTGTATTGAATGTTGACAATATTCTTAAATTGACATTTTAATTTTTTATTCCAATTTCAGATGAACATTCCTCTTACAAACCAAGCAAATGTTTAGTGGTGACGTCAGTCAACGAGAATTCACCTAACAAATTGCTAACTTATAACGTGGATTTGATTATGTTTTTGTAATTTTTAACCAAAATTAAAGTCTACGGATAAGGAGATAAATAAAGTAAAAATTTAAAAACATCCAATAATGTCATAAGTGTTTAATGATAGAAATATTTTGCCGTTAAACTGGAAAAAGAAAAGACAAGATTTAAGGTAATTTATAAGATCTATTTAAATCAACGATCATCTATATATATAAAATTGCTTGCCATGACTGACTGAATGACTCACTGATTCATCATCGCCCAGAGCAAACCACTGAACCTAAAGAGGTGAAATTTGGTACACGGTTAGGGTACGTCATGAAAACGCACACTAAGAAGGGATTTTTCGAAATTCCCCGGGCGGGAGAGAGAGAGGATTTAGTCTTCATCGAGTACTTAGGTGTATTAAATTGATAACATTTCAGACATTGTTATAAATATTTTTATCTATTTCGATTTTAAAAATGTTCGAACCGTTTTAAATTCGAATTTGTTATTGCATATTGGTTCGATTATAGAACAATTGTAAACGTTCCAGAAAATTGATCAAATTGAAAATAGTTCGTTTGATTCTCGGCAATTCTCATCATTCTCAGCGGTAGGTGTTATATAACAATTACTATGGTTGTTGAAATACTGAATATAAATGAAATTTGCTTGCAAAATCCGTGCGGGCAAAGCCGCGGGTAACAGCTAGTATTAAATAAATTCTTACGTCTAGGGTCAATATGGACTGACTTACCTGACTCTGCAAAAGTGCTCAAACAGCAAAAAACAGCACGCAATCGAAACA